TGTGTGGGGGGGCGCAGGCCCCAAAAAAAAAAAAAAAAAAAAAAAAAAAAAAAAGAAAGAAAAAGAAAAGAAAAGAAAACAGGGTCAGTAGGTTTGGGGGTGCTGGAGGAGACAGGGATGACACCTTTCCTTCGGGGCTACCGATTTCAGGGGACAGGAACTGGCCATCTGCTTTGGGGTCCCTGATCTGGGTTCAGGGACACACCCCAGAAGAGTCCTCCCTGGCTCACTTCGTCCCCTGCCACCCCTCACAGCTCTGCCTGCTCCTCCTGAGCCTGACCCTGGCCACCGTCAACGCCCGCTGGCTGGAGCCGCGCACCACGGCCGCCATGTGGGCCCTGCAGGCCATGGAGAAGGAGCGGGGCCTGGGCGGGGAGGTGCCAGGCAGCTACCAGGGCCCCGACCCTTACCGGCAGCTGCGGGAGAAGGACCCCAAGTACAGTGCCCTGCGCAGGAACTTCTTCCGCTACCACGGCCTGTCGTCGCTCAGCAATCTGGGCTGCGTACTGAGCAACGGGTTGTGCCTCGCGGGCCTGGCGCTGGGCCTCCGCAGCCTCTAGCGTGGGCCCTGCGTGTCAATAAACGCCTTTTTTGGGGAAATGGCTTCTGTCGTTTTTTTCTCCCCAGGAGAAGCAAAGACGGGATGGACGGGACCAGCAGATGGCGTAATAGCTAGGTCCCTGGACTCATATGTAGTCGACTGTGATTCGAGTCCCGGACCCGGTGGCTTAAACTCACGCTGGGCATGTGTGCATGCATACCCAAGATCCCGAGAGGAGAATGAAGGAGAGGGGATTGCGACGTGGCCATCCCCCTGCGGGTGTGTGTGTGTGTGTGTGATTTCTCGCTTTCTGTCTCTCTGTCTCTCTCTGGCGAGCGCACACACCCTATAGCAAAAACCTCTCAAAAAAAACCTCACACTGGGTGCATGTGTGTGCCCGAGATCCCAGAGGAGGATGGAGGAGAAGGGATTGAGAATGGAGGAGAAGGGATTGCGGTGTGGCCATCCCCTGATGATTTCTCGTTTTCTGTCTTTCTGTGTCTCTCCAGGTGAGTGCACATACCCTATAGGAAAATCTCTAAGAAAAAGAAAAAGGGTGGGCAAGGGAGGAGCTGAAGGCCTCAGTTTCCCCATTCTCGTGGTGTGAGGTTTTGGGGTATCACCTGTTACAGCCCTTATGCCCCTCGTATAATGGTGCCTATTTATTGAGCACCTGCTGTGTGCCAAGTACGGCGGTAACCACTGCATACACCATGTTATAACAACAGCTGGTTCTCATCCCCAGAGGATCATTGTGATCCCTGCACCCCTGACTTTGGGGTGACCGTGTGAGTAGCTTTAGCCAATAAAAGGTGAGCAGAGGTGGCATGTGTCACCTCTGTGGAGAAGTGTTAGAGGACAGTGCATAATTCACTGTTTTCCTTCCTTAGCCGTCAACATGAGAACCTAACCTGGGCTGTAGGGTGTCATGGAGACTCGGGGCTGCTTGTGACTAAGCATAACCCAGCCCTTGCTTCCTAATGCACTTCATCTCTGCGCTTAGAGACAGCTCCTGTTGTTCCCAGGAGGAGATAGGGACTCAGAGTAAGTTTAGTCACCTCACAACCTGGGTACTCTTTGCTATGGGCCACTTGACAGATGGGGACGCTGAGGCCCAGAGAGGTTAAGGAACAAGTCCAGAGTCACAAGAAAGTGCGGGAGGCAGGATTCAAACCCAGGGTAAGATCAAGTTGCTGGGATTCCAACTCCTGCAAAGTATGCGCTGTTAGGGCAGGCAGACCCTTTTGTGTTGGCTGGAAGGAAATTCTGGGAGCTTGGCTGGCCCTGGATGCCAGATCTCTGTACTGTGTGGTCCGGATAAAAGAGTATCCCTCTCTTGGGGCCAGCAGGTGGCATGGTGGTTAAGGACGCTGGACTCCCACATGGACAACCGCAATTTGAGTCCTGGACCTGGTGGCTTTTTTTCTCT